TCATTAATACGAGCGTTGGTTGCTTCATTGTTTGCACGCATCTCCTGAAGAATTTCTAATTGTTGAGCTCCCATTATGGATAAATGGGACTCTATAGAAGTAAACCGCGAATCCATGGTAGCATATCAGAAATCAGATGTCTCCATAAAGGATTGAAAATATGGAGGCATTTGATGCGTTTGTTGTGCTTGCTCCTCGGGCTGCTCAGGCTCATCTTCGGCTTCATCGATGTCTCGCATTAATTGCTCAAGCTCGGGATCATTGTTAGCTTCTGGTGGAGCTCGTGAAGAACTAGCTCCCGGAGTATTTTCAGAAGATCGAACCCAGTTACCGGTTTCCTTATCCTTTATCCATCCCGCTCTCATTAAGGAAATAAGATTAATTTGTTTCTTTAGAGGAAATGAGGCATCTAGACCTACTCTAAGCCCGGCTTTAGAAAATAGATTACTCAAAATGCAACCGTAAACTAGAGATGAACAAAGTTTCTTATTAGAAACAAGATTTACGGTTTCAACAATTTCAGCAAAAATGATCTGAGGTAGGTTAATTTTAATATTGTTTTCGAAACAATGTAACCACCAAAGATCCAAGGCTCTAAGAGTAGAATAAAGACCTCCGGATGGTCGAAACCACCAAGAAATCATTAGATGAAGAAAATGTTCATGAAGGTCTAAGACACTCGCACTATCCCTTCTTTTATAACTAGATCCTAAAATTTATTTTTCATTTGAAATACCATAGTTATCTAATCCTAATGCCTTGTCTATGTAAGTCGAGTTAATATGTAAAAATTATCCTAGGAGGTAGGAACGAACTTCTATGGTTTCGGTTTGAGCTCGGTTTTTGACTCAAACGGCATTAAAATAAAAGATGCGAACAAGTTGATGATAAACTATAGGTTCAAGGTCAAAAAGTTTATCAAATTTCCACTCTTGTAAAAGAGGAAGATATTTAAAATTTATATCTAACATAGCTTGACGAGAAGGGATACGTTCTTCTCTAATTTTGTAAGAGTCAAAATATTGATAATACCAAAAACGATGATTTCTGAGACCATGATGATTGAAGCATGAATTTTGGATAGTTAAATTTGGATCAACTGGATTAGGATTAGGAATTGGAATTTTAGGAATAGGAGGAGGATTTGGAGGTGGATTTGGTTGACGGTGTGAGCGACTAGATGATGACCTAGCACGTTTAGGATTGGACATGGTTTAGGAAATCAGAATAGAATGGATAACCTACAATTTAGAAAACACATGTATGCAATTCAATCAATCCAAAACTCAATTGAGTCCTCAATATTTCAAGGTTCTCTAAATCAATCCTAATGGGAAAAGTTTTTAAAAACTATTGAAAAATAAGATTTTGAAAAACAATATATGTATAGTTTTCATAACAACAACATAATTCAATTAAAACACAATAATTTGAAAAACACATTTTTTTTCGAAAATTTCAAAATTTTTGGAAAATTCTTGTGTTTTTGATGAAATTAGTTGTAATATCTAGTTTCTAATCACTAAACAATCAATGCCCGGTCACTATTTCTATCTAGAACTAATTAAAACTAGTCCTATGTTCAAAATCAATGAAATAGAGAGTTTAGAAATATTTACCTTGAAAGATGAGATTGAGTGAATTCTGATTAAAAACGTTGTTTTGAGGTAAATTGGAGATAGGGAAAGAAAAGATAGGGGAACGGCGTGAATGAGAGAAGAAGAGAATTTGAGGTTTTAAGGGTTCTGCCCGTGTTAAAACCAGTACCCCATGGGGGTATCGATTCCCCTATGGGGGGCAATCGGTTCCCCTTCAAAGGGGGAATCGGTTCCCTCATGGGGGTATCGATTCCCTCTGCACCAAAATGCTAAAATCCAATTTTAAACACACAAAATGCTAAATTAATTTTCTCTAGTGGTATTGGCAACTCATATATTGAAAATTAATCATGTTCAAACAATTAAATTAATCCTTAAACGATATTTGAACATAAAATTAATTTTTCATCAAGAATCATAAACTCCCCCTAACTAATAGCAATGAATGCAATCAAAAATTACTATTCTAAGCATTTTTCATTTGGTCTTTAAAAGTGCTAAAATTATTTTAAACACTAAGTGAAGATAGGTTGGTCAAACCTAATTCTCTCCTAAGTGTCCAAAATCTTTCCTTGTCTAAAGGTTTTGTAAAGATATCCGCTAATTGGTGCAAAGTATCAACAAATTCTAGAACTACATCTTCCTTAGTGACATGGTCTCTAATGAAGTGATGTCTTATTTCAATGTGCTTAGTTCTAGAGTGTTGGATGGGATTTTTAGTGAGACAAATAGCACTAGTATTGTCACACTTGATAGGAATGGTACCAACTTCAATTCCATAATCAAAAAGTTGTTGTTTCATCCATAAAACTTGTGCACAACAACTACTAGCTGAAATGTATTCGGCTTCAGTGGTAGATAATGCAACACAATTTTGTTTCTTTGAAAACCAAGAAATTAGCATATTTCCAAGGAATTGGCAAGTACCGGATGTGCTTTTCCCATCTAATTTGCATCCTCCATAATCCGCATTAGAAAAAGCATGCAAGCTAAAGCTAGAGTCTCTAGGATACCAAAGTCCTAAACTAGGAGTGTCCTTAAGGTATCTAAAGATTCTCTTAACAGCTAGTAAAATGTAATTCCTTAGGGCATGATTGAAATCTAGCATATAAGCAAACACTAAACATAATGTCTAGTCTACTTTCAGTTAGATAAAGTAGAGATCCAATCATTGACCTATATAATTTAACATCTACACATTTACCTTCTTCATCTAAGTCAAGCTTTTTTGAATAGCTCATTGGAGTGTCATGCGGTTTGTCATTTTCCAGTCCAAACTTTTTGAGCATGTCTTTGACGTATTTAGCTTGATTGATGAAGATGCCATCTTTTCTTTGCTTGATTTGGAGTCCAAAGAAAAATGAGAGCTCCCCCATCTTGCTCATTTCGAATTCACTTTGCATTAGCTTAGAAAATTCTTGGCAAAGAACATCATTAGTAGAACCAAATATTATATCATCAACATAAATTTGAACTACTAATAAATCTTTACCTTTATGCTTTAAAAATAATGTAGTGTCAACCTTCCCTTTTGAAAAACCTTTTTCAATTAAAAAATTTGACAATCTTTCATACCAAGCTCTAGGAGCTTGTTTTAAACCATAAAGTGCTTTTGTCAATTTAAGAACATGATCTAGAAATTTTGAATCTTCAAAACCTGGAGGTTGTTCCAGATACACTTCTTCCTTTATAAAACCATTTAAAAATGTACTTTTAACATCCATTTGATATAATTTAAATTCATGAAAACATGCAAATGCTAATAACATTCTAATTGCTTTCATCCTAGCTACGGGAGTGTATGTTTCATCATAGTCTATGCCCTCTTCTTGAGTATACCCTTGAGCAATAAGTCTAGCCTTGTTTCTCACTATATTTACCACTCTCATCAAGCTTATTCCTAAACACCCATCTAGTACCTACAGTAGATTTATTACTAGGCCTTTCAACTAATGTCCATACTTTACTTCTCTCAAATTGATTTAATTCTTCTTGCATAGCCATGATCCACTGTTCATCATTTAATGCTTCTTTAATATTCTTAGTCTCTATGCATGAAATGAATGAAACATAATTACAAATATTTCTAAGAGAAGATCGAGTTGTTACCCCTTTGGATGGATCACCTGTAATCTCACCATCCTTGACATAGTTGTACTCTCTTGGATAAGATACTTCCCTTTTCTTCAATGGTTGGATTCTCGAGGGGATCATGAGTTTCCTCATCTTTCGTTTCTTCCTTTGATGATGATTCTCCAACGTCATGTTTAACGTCATTTATATTTATAATCCCTACATCATCGTTAACACAAGAATCCTTTCTCGGAAGGGGATTATCATCGAAAACAACATGTATAGACTCTTCTACAACTAAAGTTGGGGAAATATTTTTTTTACTTTATTCCTTTATTTTATTTTATTTCCTTATTTTTATTTCTATCTATCCATTGTCCTTTCACATCGCATTAATTTTTACAGTTTACTTTTTCCCCATCCACTCATTTTCTTTTAACCGTCCACTCACTCCATATCTCCCATTATTTATTTTAACTTTTCTTTTTCATCATCTTCTTCTCTCATTTTCCTCCATAACCAATGATATTAAAGCAAGCAAAGCTCTCACCTTTTTATTCTTTTCACTCTCAAACCAGTACAACAATGGTGCGTACAAGACCCTCGGAGGCTGAAGCTCCTATTCCTCAACAGTTTGTAGACAATGCAACAAAAGAATGATTTCAAAATTTCAAAAACTACAAGCTTTTCTTTGAGTTGGGGGTCATTCTCACTAATGAGCAAGATGGTGGTTTCGGGCCAAATGTGATGGACATTGTTGAGCCATTAAAATGGCACAAGTTTACAAGACACCCCGATCCTGTTAATACTTCTTTAGTGAAGGAGTTTTATGCCAATATTTCCAAACCAAATCAACATGCATTTTTTGTCTGAGGTAAATATATTCGTTTTACACTGTCTGCCATTAATTTGCAGGGTTTGAAGATCAACTTGCAAACATTGAGAGAGATGCCGATAGTGCAACTTACGACTGAGTCTTTGAGGATTTGTGTTTTTTGAATACCTCTTAGAATGGCCAACAAACCAGTCGTTACTCTATTAATAGGGAATGTCTTCAACCACGAGCAAAATTGTTGAACCATTTCATGAAGCATAATAAGATCATGCCGACCGCCCATAACACAATGGTAACCCTCCCACGATTAATTCTTTTACACTTTATTATGGTTACACAATCTATTGATGAGGGTAAGATAATTATTAAACAAGTTCATGATTGCTTAAGTAACAAAGCTAGTGCGTTGGTCTTTCCAAATCTTATTACATCATTATGTCACAAGAAAAAGGTTAATAATAGTAGTTTTGATGAAGTTTTGTCTGGTGTCTCAGGCCTAACAAGAGCATGGTTGCCATTATTGTTGGGTTTGGATAACCCTAAGTCTAAGGAAAATGCTAATAAGGAATCTGAGGATGACAAACCATCTAATGCCAAGGCATGACTGCTTGCTCTCAAAGAAGCTATCCAGCAGATACGAACTCATTTGCATGCTCTACATGGTGATATAAGAAATTTCTTTGGTAATGTTAAGAACGGGGATGTTGTGATGAAATCTATGTTTCAAGAGATGATTCCCCACATTGAACGGAAATTCCTCGGTTTTCCAGATGAAATTTTATCGGTATTTAATGCCGAGGCATCTCCTAAGCCTGATGATGCCGACCCTCATGTTGTTGAGCCAAACCCAGATCTTGCCCACCATTCCCCTACTCCGGAGTCTCCTGTGGCACCGGTCGAACCAACCCCAGTCCAATTGTTGCACCTGTACCTCCGTCCGCCCATGGACTAGCCGTCGTACTAAGACCTTGGCAGGGTGTGTTAATATCACCCACTATTATTCAACTTCTTCCGATGCCAATCCTGTACCCCTTCCAAAAGAGAACAAGACGTTAGGGTTTACTGCTTTGTGAATTATTATTATATGATTGTATGACCTCTATACTCAAGGAATTTAGGAAATTTTTATGAAAGAACTCTAGTTAGCCTTGGCAATGAAATTTGGAATTATGCTTAAATGAGAAATCAATGAGAAATCCCTTGTGTCTAAAATTGTGAATAAATGCTTCAGTATAGCTGTAGAGGAACACTCCTCTTTTCCATGGTTGTGCCGAGAAATTTCTTTAATAAATGGCAACCATGTGTGTATGAGTGAATGAAAGAAGTCACGGGACGGTATGCTCCCTTTCACCTAGAGTGTTAAGCTTTTGATTCAGAACCAGGATGAAATGATTAAAAGTGGAAGGCTCTCTGAACCCTACAAGGGAATTGGTGATTGTTTCAAGCGAACGATTCAAGAAGAAGGATTTGGGTCTTTGTGGAGGGGAAACACTGCAAATGTTATTCGTTATTTCCCCACTCAGGTTAGCTTAGTCATTGGAACTTTTGTCTTTATGTTAGATTAATTTGATTGCTCTTATGTTTTACGCCTACCACTTTGCTCTTTTGGAAACAGGCTTTGAACTTTGCTTTCAAGGATTACTTCAAGAGGCTGTTCAACTTCAAGAAAGACAGAGATGGTTATTGGAAATGGTTTGCTGGGAACTTGGCATCAGGTGGTGCTGCTGGTGCTTCTTCCCTTCTGTTTGTCTACTCATTGGACTATGCTCGAACCCGTCTTGCCAATGATGCAAAGGCTGCAAAGAAGGGAGGGGAGAGGCAATTCAATGGCCTTGTTGATGTCTACAGGAAGACCTTAAAATCTGATGGTATTGCTGGGCTTTACCGTGGGTTCAATATTTCATGTGTTGGAATCATTGTTTACCGTGGTCTGTACTTTGGAATGTACGACTCTCTGAAGCCGGTGCTTTTGACTGGAAGTTTGCAGGTTAGTATGTTTGATAGCCTGTGATGTAAAAGCTATTTGGGCTGTATATTAATTTCTTTAGTTGACCTTGTATATGTTTCATGACATTGCTCTCTGTTTTCCCCTCCGATAATTGCAGGATAGTTTCTTTGCTAGCTTTGCCCTTGGTTGGCTCATCACTAACGGTGCTGGCCTTGCATCCTACCCGATTGACACTGTCCGTAGAAGAATGTTGATGACCTCGGGTGAAGCAGTCAAGTACAAGAGCTCACTTGATGCATTCTCTCAGATTTTGAAAAACGAGGGTGCCAAGTCACTATTTAAGGGTGCTGGAGCTAACATCCTTCGTGCCATTGCCGGTGCTGGTGTGCTCGCTGGATATGACAAGTTGCAGCTCATTGTGTTCGGAAAGAAGTATGGATCGGGTGGTGCTTAATCTTATGGGTATATTTATCTCTGTCCCGTTTAGATTTAGATGGTGATGAAAAACCAGAAATAGATTCTGGATAGTCAATTAAATAATTCAGATTCAGTGGGGGGTTACCCCAAACAATTTTTGTTTAGTTTTGCGATGGAAATTTTGGATAAAAGAAAAGCTGTTAAGATTATTGGTGGCAAAAAATGCTACTGTCCCCATATCGGATTATATTATGCTTTAAGTTATAATTGTATTGTTTCAAGTTGGGTAATAAATGGGTTGTGTTTAATGTCATTATCATGTAAAGCTAGGGCGCTTAGTCCTCATCTTCCATGTGTCATCCATCTTGTTTCAGAGCTATCTTAGAGTGTTGACTTGAGTCGGGCATGGTGACTTTAGATACATATTTGATTTTTGAATTTTTTGAGATTTATTTCATTCATAAACTTTAATTTAGATGTCTAATTGGTATCTAAACTTCAAACCCGTTACATTAATTTAAAATTTTATTATATTTTATTTTTAATCAATTTATGAATGTTACAAATCTTTAAATATTGATCTCTAAATTTAATCTTAAAAGTATTTGGTATCTGATTTTTTTTTCTTTTTGATCAAGTATATGAACTTTTTTCAAATACATCAAGTACTTGATTCTTTTTTTTGGAAAAGAACTGAAAATTACATATTATCATCTAAAGCATTAAGCTGCTTATCAAATCGTAGAAGATGAAGTATTTGATCTGGAGGAGTATCAAAATGGAATTCCTGCAACGGTAAATCACGGGTCAAAGAAGCTAGTACATTCGCAACCGCATTGTGATCTCGTCGAACATGATTTATATGAACCATCCAATCTCGTTGCATCAATTCCTTAATTACAACAAGCATATTTGAAAAGCCCCAGTTCTCGGGCTAGGAATTTCGGGTTGACCCGAGATAGTTGGACGAGCCCAATTACCTTGAAAGTGATTAGACCCATTTGGAGCTTAATTTGGGCTTGGTTTGGAGGCCCAAACAATATCAAAAAGGGTAATTTTAAAATAAGGATTGAAGTTGAAGGATCAAAAGAGCTATTAACCCATTATTCAAAATAAAAACTAAAACCCTCCTTTTAGGCATGAAAACACGTTAACCCATCCTTATTACTCACCAAACACTCTTCCTTCATCTTCTCTCTTTCTTCTTCTTATTCCTCTCCAATATTAATTAAAGGTTGAAGCTTTAATTTATGCAAATCTAATCCAAGAAATTTTAAGCTAAGAAATGAAATCTCTATCTGAAGAGCTTCAGTTTAAGCCCTAATTGCAAGTTGAGATCATAGAAACCAAAAATGGGGTTTAGGGAAGTTTATGAATCCAAGTGTCTTTCAAACTGTTTTTAGTGAATTTGAGTTATAGGAAGTGTCCTTAACTTTAATCCAAACTCTTAAATAAGTTAGTAATTCATCTTCTTGCCTTTGATTAGTTAAAGAAGTGGGAAATAGCTCCAAAGCTAAAGGGAATGAGAAATTGACCCTTAGTTGATTTGAGGGTATTCTCGACAACTAAGAAATTAAGGTAACACATTCAAAACTCCTTCATACCATTTGTGAGTCAGGAGAATGCATTTTAGCTAGGGGTTGAGTCTTGAAGCATGATTGAGCATTTTATGGTAGATTTCATATATTGGTGTTTTTAGATTAAGGGCCAATTATGATTTTATCTTATATACATAAGACTTAAATAATATTTGGGGACCTTAATAGGGCCTTTAAGGGGGATTTGAGAAGCATTTTCGTGCCTAAGGCATTTCTGGGTTTGGGTATTGGTACTAGAAGAATAGTACTGATATTGTTCTTATGAGGAACGAAAAGAGAGAATTTTAGTATAGAAGTATCAGTACTCCTTCATTGAGTATCAATACTAGGGTTAGAGTATCGATACCCCCATAGGAGTATCGACAAACAGGGTATTTTTCAAAACATCGAACTAAATTTTGGTATCGATACTCAAAGAGTAGCGATACCCTAGCTCGAGAGTACCGATACTGGCCCAACAGTATCAATACTACTCACCATTTTTCAGTTGATTTTAACCTTATGATATCGATACTATAACACCCCCAACTCGTATCCGACCCAGATACGAATCCGATGTGTCACATTGACTTTTCAAATCATTGACTATAAAAAAATAGTTGAAAATTTAAAACATCTATTTGTATTTTAAAATGGCAGAACCCCTTAACTAAAGTAAATATGGTAATTCAAACTTAAATTGAAAATAAAAACCTAATAATTTACAAAAATACAATAAGTTATGTTTACAAAAAACCGATCAGAGCATATTCGATTTAAACCTGTAATTACATGCCAACAAAATTCAATATAACGAAATAACCTACTATTTAAATCGTTTCTGAACTGATCTTCAATAGAGATATGTTGCCTTGACCAATCCAAGCTTTGATCTCCTGTCTTCTTAGTACCTATGTGTGAAAACACTGACACAGTAAGTCTTTGACTTGGTGAGGCATAAAGTACTTAAATAAAACATTTTAAAACAAATAATCTTATTCTTATGCTCTTATAAAAATCATATGATAAAGAAACCATGATGCAGTTCATAAAACAAAACATATATTATCATGAACTGTTCATTCATATCATTTCTTTTAATAGCCCATGATACATTACTGAGAACTTAAGGTATGTGTGTAATACCCCAAATATCAGGTCAACGACTTTATTAAAAAAAGATTTAAAAATTTGAGAATTGATTTGAAAAGTATTAAAGGATAAGAAATGATTTAGAAATAGTATTTAAGACCAGTTAGTAAAAATGGATGAATAAAGAGGGCATTTTGGTCCTTTAAGGGGAAATGAATTTAAAATTTCATTTTATTAGAGATTTAAGAAGGGAAAAGGGGAAAGTTAAAACAAAACCAAGTCATCTCTTTTTTTTTTCTTCTTCATGTGTCACGTGCTCTCCCCATAGCCAAGGTAAGTTTTCTTTGAGTTAGTTTATTCTTTAGTTTTTGGACAAGTTTTGAAACCTTAAGTTATATAGAGGTTTATGGAAAATTCAAGGATGATTAAAACTAAGTGATTAGTGAAACATTTGAGATTGAAGGAAATGAGTTTTTGAATGATATGTTGGAATATGAGTTTTTATTGATGTTTACTAGTATATTTGACTTGTCAAAGAGGTAAATAATAGATTAAAAGCCTTGGATGTGATTAAAAATATGTTAGAAAAAGTGATATGATTCTTGGTTTGAGATGTTCTTTGGAGATTTTAGATGTTATAAGAAGCTAAATGAAGGAAAGTTAGTTGAGATAAGTAAAAAAGAGTGTAATAGTATTATTGGAGCTAAAAATAAGGAAATTTGACCAAATTTGGGTAAAAATCAAGTTGAAAAAAGGAAAATCTGGGTAAGGGTATCGGTACTCGAAGAACAGTATTGATACTATATGTTTAAATTTAGGGAAATCATAAGAACATTATTGATACTGATGCAATTAGTATCGATACTGATGTGGGTATCGATACTATGAGGAAGGTATCAATACCATCATAATGCAGAAATGGTATCGATACCGCACGAGAGTATCGGTACCATAATATAGAAGTATCGATACCATAGTAAGGGTACCGATACTATTGAGTCTGAAAAATTAAAATAGGACGAATTTTTATATAAATTAAATATAATAGTACTTTGAAGTATTATTAAAAGTATAAATGTTAAAGAGTATGCTAACATTGGTATGATATTTGTACTTAATGGATGCTTGTGTAGATCGTAACCAAGCTCCCAAGTCAAGCAAGAAAAAGGGAAAAAATAAAGTTGCATAATAGATGGACATCTTTAAAGCACACTAACAAGGCATACTAGGTGAGTGCATTTATTATGTACATTAAGAGTTATAGATGCATGTTGTTAAAGGCATATATTGCATTGATATATCAGTACTATGTATACTATAGGAACTAAGTTTGCAACCCACGGAATTCATCATATGTTGATGAACGACCGTATAGGCACTAAGTGTGCAACCTACGGAATTCATTATATGTTGATGAAAGACCGTATCAACACTAAGTGTGTAACCCACGGAATTCATCATAAGTTGATGAACGACCGTATCGGCATTAAGTCTGCAATGCACGAAATTCATCATATGTTGATGAACGACCATATAGGCACTAAGTGAACAACCCACGAAATTCATCATATGTTGATGAACGACCGTATCGACACTAAGTGTGCAACCCACAGAATTCATAATATGTTTATGAACGACTGTATCGACACTGTGTGTGTGCCTCTCAAATAAATTATAAAGATTTAAAAATAATGAATTTGTATTTGATGGATATAATAAAATAATGTATTGATCTCATCTCATTAGTATTCTTGCCTCACTAAGTAAATACTTAACGAGTGTTTATTTCACGCGTAGGTTTAGCAAGCAGAGTAAGGAGTGCATTTGACATCTCAAATCTAGTACTGCCTCATCAGTAACTGAATGACAGCTATGTCCATTTTGATATTATTAGTCGGCATGTAATAGAATTATGATAATGCTCTAAAAAGTATTTGGTTTATAATGATGTAAAAAGATAAAATGTTTGAACATTAAATATTTGTTTACATACTAAAGTTTAATGAATGTTTTATTAGTATTAAATTAAAATGTTTTATAAAAAGAGAAACAAAATTTTACGGGTTTTTAAATGAGGAAATGCTTTAAAAGTGATGTGACATATGTATCTCGTGTACGGAAAGGAATACGGGAAATGAGTGTTACATTTATTGGTATCAGAACTACAGGTTTAGCCGATTCTCTACTGAAATCGAGTGTATTTTAATGTAAAAGGGTTTACATGCCACTAAGATGTCAAGGTTACTGATAGGGTATAGTTATTATATGATCAATGTCTCTCCTCACTAACTTAAGTATTATCCTTATATATGTTATATTAGATGTCAGATTCTATGAATTCGAGAAGAGCGGTTGAACTAGAGAATATAGAAGGATCAAATAGTGAAAGCTAAGAGGAGAATAAGGAGCATTCGATTCCATCTGAGAATGCTAGCGCACCAGTATATCAGGGTATGCTCGAGCCCGAGTTTGGATCTTT